GAACCCTGTTGTTAGTCAACTGGCGGATCGCTTTTCCAGGGGTAATAATCCCTTTAAAAAATGTATATAATAATGTGGTCACTCAATCCATGACTGTTTGTGGGACCCTGCTTCCGCAATTGGCTGCTGTGTTTCGCCTACAAAATATACAGTCAGTTCACTTTATGGTATATTCTATGAAGCGCTTTGAAACGTCTCGAAGACATGATAAGGCGCCATATAAATTGCAAGGATTATTATTATTATCATCAATTCCCCCCTCCCCCCAGTCTCAATCTGTCAGATTCCAAACACCCCCCAGTCTGTATCTGTCGGCCAGGACACTGGGAGAGAAACTCTCTTCTCTTTCCCAACAAGTTAGCCTGCGGGATCTTTAACATCCTATGTACAGGGCACAGACAGCGCCTTGGCTTCACATCTCATCCGAAGGATGGGGCTTCCAACAATATGGTGCTCTCTTCCTCAAGCACTGCCCTGGAGAGTCAGCTTGAACTGTGAGCTCAGAGGGAGCTTGAACCCCATCCTCCTGACTGAGAAGTGAGAGTGAGACACAGCCTGAGCCACAGCTCATTCCAATTGAAAAGTTTGTAATTAGACTGAGAGATAATGACGCTGTGATGGTTCCCGCACGCAGAGACTGAGGAACCAGGCTGTAGGCGGTGAGGATTGTCACCGGGAGAGTTAGGAAAAGACTAAAGAACAATTTCAGGCAAACAGTGATTAACCTGAACATCAGGCACAAGCGAGAGCTGTAGAACTCACTCTGTTGTTTCCAGGCAACTGAGTAATGGGTCTGAAAAGAGAGAATAAATAGGCAGAGAACTCCAGTGCAGACACGATGGGCAGAGATCAGGGAATGGGATTAGAGTAGAGAGCTCCAGTGGGGGAGCGAGCCCCAGCACAGACACCATGGGGGGAGAGAGAGAGAGAGAGAGCAGGGAATGGGGTTAGAGTAGAGAGCTCTTCCTTTTCACTTGTCCACCCACTGGCATATTGGTGGTGAGAGGACAGATAGAGACATTGTGGTGAATGCCCCCCTTGCCCCTCGCTCGCCCTCGCTGAGCCCCGCTGTGTGGCTGGCCCGCACGGTGCTGGCAATCCCAAGCGATGTGTCGCCGTGTCCTCAGGGTTTACCTTTGATAAGCTGTTGTATGTAAGCAGGTGGAGGATGAATTGAGGTATTTCATTGCTGTATTTGTGAGATGTGATCTTATAGAACTGTCACAGTCCCCGAACCTCTCACCAAATCACTGTCATCACTCATCACATCACACTCCCCATTAACAACGTTTTTCGCAGTCTGTCCATTCACTCCTACTCTACTCGCTGTGTGTTTGTGTGTGTGTGTGTTTGTACGCGGTCAGTGTGCTGTGTGTCTGTATGTGTGTGCTGTCAGGATGTGTGTGTGTATGTAGTCAGTGTGCTTTGTGTATATGCGGTCAGTGTGCTGGGTGTATCTGGTCAGTGTCCAGCGCTTTGGGACATCTTCCCGACGTGAAAGGCACTCTATAAATGTAATTTTGTTGTTATTGTTGTGTATGCGGTCAGTGTGTCTGTGTGCGGTCAGTATGCTGTGTGTGTGCGATCAGTGTGTGTGTGTATGCGGTCTGTGTGCTGGGTGTCTGTGTATGTGCGGTGGGCAGTCAATGTACGTGTGTGTTCAGTGTGTGTGTGTGTGTGGTCAGTGTGTGTGTGGTCAGTGTGTGTGTGTGCGTGGTCAGTGTGTGTGTGCGTGGTCAGTGTGTGTGTGTGGTCAGTGTGTATGTGGTCAGTGTGTGTGTGTGGTCAGTGAGTATGTGTGGTCAGTGTGTGTGTGGTCAGTGTGTGTGCGTGGTCAGTGTGTGTGTGCGTGGTCAGTGTGTGTGTGCGTGGTCAGTGTGTGTGTGCGTGGTCAGTGTGTGTGTGGTCAGTGTGTGTGTGTGCGTGGTCAGTGTGTGTGTGTGCGTGGTCAGTGTGTGTGTGCGTGGTCAGTGAGTATGTGTGGTCAGTGTGTGTGTGGTCAGTGTGTGTGTGTGTGTGGTCAGTGTGTGTGTGTGGTCAGTGTGTGTGGTCTGTGTGTGTGTGGTGTGTATTTGTGTGGTCTGTGTGTGTGTGATCAGTGTGTAATAATAATAATAATCCTTGCATTTGATATAGCGCTGTTCACGTCGGGAGGACGTCCCAAAGCGCTTCACAGAACACACTGTAAAGTGAAATGACTGTATATTTGTATGCAGTCAGTGTGCTGTATGTCTGTATGTGAGGTGTGCGGTCAGTGTGTGTGTGTGTGTGTGTGGTCAGTGTGTGTGTATGTGAGGAGATGCGGTCAGTGTGTGTGTATGCGGTCAGTGTGCTGTGTGTCTGTATGTGAGGAGTGCGGTCAGTGTGTGTGTATGCGGTCAGTGTGTGTGTATGCGGTCAGTGTGTGTATGCGGTCAGTGCGTGTGGTCAGTGTGTGTGTGTGCTGCTCCTGGATCACTGTGCAGGGCTCAGGCTCTCAGGTACAAAACCTGTTCGATAGCAGTTCAGCCTCGGTCTCTGCATCCGGTTTCCAATGTCGGTTTTCCCTCCTCTCGTGCAGTGCAGTGCAGTGCAGTGCAGTGTCTGTGCTGTGACCGCAGCGGCTGCTCTCTGCTCCCAGGACACCTCTGGTTGTGTTCAGCATCTCAACATTGCTGTTTGCTGCATTGCCCAGTGAGCTGAGCGTCTTAAATAACAATAATAATAATCCCGGCATTTGATACAGCGCCTTATCACGTCTTCGAGATGTCTCAAAGCGCTTCGCAGAATGTACTGTAAAGTGTAGTGACTGTATGTTTTGGGGGCGAAACACAGCAGCCAATCGCGCACAGCAGCGTCCCCCCAAACAGTCGTGGATTGAGTGACCAAATTATTATTTTTTAAAATGTGTTTTTGTTTTGAAGGGATTATTGGGCTGATATTGAGCTATAGTAGGCTGTAATAGGAGTTATAATATCAGGTTGTATGCAGAGGTGGGGAGGGAGAGAGAGAGTGAAAGGGAGAGACGGGCAGGCGGGTGTAAATGCAGGTTAATGTGAAACATGTTGAAACGCTTATCCCGTGTGTAAAGCCTATTTTTGGAGTCTGAGCTGTGTGATTTCAGTTGAAGGTTAGAATTGTGTCCCGGTGACACTACAATACATCTGCACATCGTCTGAACAGAGATTAGCACTGGATGGGTGTGAGGTTTATACAGAGCACAGCGACACAACAGCAATACAGAGAAACACAGCAGCAATACAGGGGTCATGTAGTGAGTGTAGTGGTTAGAGCACTCGACTCGCAAGCAAGAGGACCTGGGCTCAATTCCCGGCCAGGGAGAGACATCGGGGGGGAGGAGGAGTGAGCCCGGGGGTCAGGGGGAGTGAGCCCGGGGGTCAGGGGGAGTGAGCCTGGCGAGGGTGTTGGGGGGAGTGACGATGCTCAGTTCCCACAGATTCTGTATTCAGGCCATGTGTTTACTCTGAAGTGCAGCTACTGTGTATTTTGTGAGCGAATGTGGCGGCCAATTGGCACACAGCAACATCCCACAGCCGTGAAGCGAGTGAGCAGTGTTATCTGTGGGGAATTCTTGACCATGACAACAGGAGAGAGAAACTCCCTTCTCTTTTCAAATCGTGGAGCAGAGATCTTTGATGTGCGCCCACTCTGACAATGTCACTCTTCTCCCTCGCAGTGCGCTGGAGTAATCAGGTCCCTGAATGTGGGGGGGAGGGAGGGGACTCGAACCCACCGCTGACCTCCCCAGAGGCAGGGAGTGTGAGTGGTTGGGCTGAGACCCAATGAGAATAATAATAATCATTGCATTTGATATCGTGCCTCATCACGTCTTCTAGACACCTCAAAGCTTCACAGAATATACTGTAAAGTGAATTGACTGTATTTTTTGGGCAAAACATGGCATCCAGTTGCGCACAGCAGTGTCCCACAAACGTCGTGAAGACACTATATCAAACACAAGGATTATTATTATTATTATTTCTGTCTCCTCAGCCCTTCTGAATACGGAGTAACTTTAAAATGTAGTGTGGCCCTGGGCGATCAGAGGGAAATGTACTGTGGCTTCGGAAACATTGAGCTAATAGTTTCTGTCTTGTAAATTGGATTATGTCGCTGTTTATGTAAATCTTTGGCCTTCACTGTTCATTTACTTCCCTCATTTATTGTTCTCCTCAAAACACATCTGTGTTTCCTCTTCCCAGCTGCCGTGCTGGAAAGAGAATAGCAGAGAGTACCTGACTGGGATTCCCTCAGTCTTGTCATCATTCACACCCAGGCCTGCCTGCCTGCCTGCCTGCTGTAGTGACTGTTTATGAAGGCAGGAGGCGGGGGTAATAATCCCTCCAAATTTTTTTTAAAAATCAATAATGTGGTCACTCAAATTATTGTGACTGTTTGCGGGACACTGCTGTGTGCGCTTTGCCCACACAATACGCAGTCACTACACTTTACAGTATATCCTGTGAAGCGCTTTGAGACGTCTCAACCACATGATAAGGCGCCGTATCAAATGCCGGGATTATTATTAACAGTGGTAGGGCCATTCAGACCCTTGAGCCTGTCCTGCCATTCTGTGGGATCGTGGCTGATCCACACCTCAACTCCAATTACAAGAGGTTTGTGTGGAGTATAAACGCGGTCTGTAACGCTCTGTATAATCCTCTGTGTAATGTCAAAACATCTCCCGTCAGAAGGCAAAAAAGAAAATGGCGGCAGCAGCTGCGTGTGCCCCCTTGTGTCTGCATAGTGTTTTACACCCTGTTCAGTGCTGTTTGAAACTGGAGCCAGCACAGAGCAGTGTGACTTTACCCCTGGGGGTAAAGAAGGAACCAGGAGACTCCCCCCGCCCCAAGGACTCTGAGAGGCTTACACAGTGTCAGACCATTGAACTCTTCTTGTCCACTCCTGCCCCAAAAGTCCCAAACCGCCGGTTTCCCACACCCCACTACGTCTGCTCTCCGCTCTCACTCCTGGTCTCACTCCTGTCTTTGTCTCCACAGAAATGTATGCGGTTTAACCTGGATGCTCCGGTCTGGGTGTCCAAACAGCGCATCCTGTGCACCCTCAACCACACCCTGAAGGACGTCCTCAACTACGGCCTCTTCCAGCCCGCGTTCAATGGCCGAGCTGGGAAGTTCCTGGACGAGGAGCGCCTCCTGCGAGAGTACCCCACTCCCCCAGACACCCCCGTGCCCTACTTAGAGGTCAGTCACCCACTAGGCCCCAGCCCATCACCTGGCACTGTTCACCGACATTGGGAGTGAGGGGGCAGGTGTAGGGCAGTGAGCGGAAGTGTAAAGGGAGTGGTGCAGTGTAGTGGTTAAAGCACTTGCCTCGCAAGCGAGAGGACCCAGGTTTGATTCCTGGGAAAGGACGGAACGTTCGGTAAGTTTCCTTACTCCATTTACCCAGCAGTAAGGAGGAACCCAGTTGTTAGTCGATTGGCAGATTGCTTTTCCAGAAGTAATACAATTCCTTCTAAATAAATAAATAAATAAATAATTTGTTTATTCAATCCACGACTGTTTGTGGAACACTTCTGGGAGCAATTGGCTGCCGTGTTTCGCCCACAAAATATACAGTCGTTACATTTTACATTACATCCTGTGAAGCGCTTTGAGATGAAGGGGTGATAAGGCGCTATATCAAATGCAAGGATTTATTATTATTAAGAGAGGAGGTGAGAGAGTGGGAGGATGAAAGGAGAGAGAAGAAGAGGGTGGGATGGGATGATGTCTCCACCTGACAGATGGGGGAGAGGGAATGGGGATGAAGGTTAGAGCCTGACTCAGCCTCTCTCTTCTCCACAGTTCCGGTATAAGAAGCGAGTGTACAGTCAGAGCTACGTGGATGAGAAACAACTAGCCAAATTGCATACCAAGGTAAGTGCTCGGGGTGGGGGGGGGAGTCGGGGTGGGGTGCCCTGCAAGCTAAAGCCCTAACAGGGAGGGTGATACGAGCTGGACAAGCAGTGGGAAAGTTTGCCAGACTGCGATATGGATGGCAAACTATGCTGTTTTACCTGGTTAGACTCCAGCAGTCACCCCAACGCACGCTCTGGGGTTCCCAAGCCATAGCTCTTGGCAATCTGCACCTAATACTTCAATATTCTTAAGTTATAGTGATGGGTTTCCATGTGTTAGATACTGACAAAAAAATGAAGGGAATAGGGTTAGAATAGAGAGCTCCAGTGGGGGAGCGAGCCCCAGCATAGATACGATGGGGAGAGAGCAGGGAATGGGGTTAGAGTAGAGAGCTCCAGTGGGGGAGTGAGCCCCAGCACCGACACGATGGGGAGAGAGAGAGAGAGAGCAGGGAATGGGGATAGAGAGCTCCAGTGGGGAACAAGGTAGTTAGGAGCCAGCCTAGCATAGCTGTAATTTATTAAAATTTGATTATGGCTGTTTGCTGCTCAGTCAGAAAGTTAATTACTGGCTGATCAATGAGAGGTTAACAGAGGAACACAGAGCAGAAGTGCGGGAGAGACACAAATAGAGCGAGAGAGAGATGCATAATGAGAGCCAAAGAAATGCAACAACAACAATAAGATTACATTTGTATTGCGCCTTTCACGTCAGGACGTCCCAAGGTGCTGGACAGTGTACAGCATTTCAGACCCGAGCTGGGGTCAGGGAGGGAGAAGGGAGGGGAAGGGGAAGTGGCCGATGGCATGATCGAAGAGGAGGGTTTTGAGGCGGGACTTGAAGGAGGCTAAGGAGGGGGTGAGGCGGAGTGATTGGGGGATGAAATTCCAGAGGTTGGGGGCAGAGTGGCTGAAGGCTCTCCCACCAATGGTGGGGCGGGTGGGTCGGAGAAACACATACTGTGAGAGAGAGAGAGAGAGAGAGTGAGAAAGACAGAGTGAGATATAGAGCGAGATATAGAGCAACAGAGAGATACAGAATGAGAGATAGGAAGACATATAGAGTGAGAGAGATGGAGCAACCATGATCTAATACAGTGGCGGAACAAAGTCGAGGGGCAGAATCTATTCCCTATGTACCTGTGAGGCAGAGCAAGAGCAAGGCAGAGCGAGAGAGAGACAGTAAGAGAAACAGACAGAGAGCAAGAGAGGGACAGAGCAAGAGAGAGATAGACACAGGGCGAGAGAGGGGCACAGAGAGAGAGAGAAAGAGAGAGAGAGAGCTGCTTGTGTTTGGAGTGAGTGGTGTTGTCGGTCCCAAGGACCGATGTCCAATCACATGTATGAAAGGGCTTTGTTCGGCCCAGACAATAGTTCAGGCTGTAGGAAGTGGAAAGTGACGCGGATGCCCTCCCCCCACTTTGTGTAAGAACTGTAGCATTAACTTTGTACACTTTCACCAGAGAGAGAGAGTGTGTGTACGAGTGAGAGCATGGAATGTGTGGCGTGGCTCCCTGTACAGTCAGACTCCCTCGTCTCTGAAAGTAAAAACATAAACATTACTTGTCCCCGTGTAATAATCCCTTCAAAATGTTTTTAATCATAATAATAATTTGGTCAATCAATCCACTACTGTGCGCAATTGGCTACTGCATTTCGCCTATAAAATATACAGTCAATTCAGCATATTTACATATATCGTGTGAAGCGCTTTGAGACATCTCAGGAGGTGAGGAGATGCTAAATCAAATGTAAAGATTATTATTATTATCTGTGGTTTAATCCCACTGCTCCGTTTCTCTGCCAGCACTCAGACCGTTAGACACTGGGCAGTCTGGGCTTGTGAGCTTGTGCTCAGTCACATACACACACGCGGCTCTGACACGTCAGGGCACAGGCTAACATGGGGAATTCACGTGTGCCCTTTGTGGGGCTGTGTGTGATCAAATTGCCCCCATTACCGTTTCCCTAGTGACTGAAAGCTTTTCTCTGCCGGATCATAGCACTGTGTGACAAAATACATCATTGATCACTCTGTCAGCCAGAATTAACCACTCACCCAGCCCAAGAGCCAGAGCGATCTCTTCCCTCTGAGTGTGTCAATCACAGTCCGACCCTGATCTGCCCGACTCTGACACCAGCCATGAGCTCCACACCACCCTGAACTCCACCCCCCCTCCACCCCCCCACCCCCATGACTCCAATCCTGATATGTCAACAACAGCAACAAATTACATTTGTATAGCGTTTTTTACGTCGGGAGGATGTCCCAAGGCGCTGGACAGACAGGAATTTGGACCTGAGCCAGGGGTTGGGATCAGGAGCGGTGGAGGGCAGGGATAGGATACATGGCATGATTCAAGAGAGTTTCCCTGTCCTGGCCGACAATCCCCAAGAAAAAAATCACTTGCTTATTTCATGCCTGTTTGAGGGATATTGCACTGCACAATTTGGTTGCTGCGTTTGCCCTTAAACACACAGTCATTGCACTTTATAGCACTCTGAAGTGCTCTGAGACGTACTCCTGATGTGAAAGGTGCTGTTTCAAATGAAAGATTATTATTAACATTCAAACCCCCCACACACCAACAACCAACACCCCCACTCTGTAATTTGTCAGCCGGGTGCCTGACCCTTACATAAAACCCATCGCCATGCTTAAGCCTCCAAACCAAACTGAGAATTCCATGCATCCCACCTACACATCCGGAAATGTTTATTGGAATGGAATGCTCACTCTCTCTCCCTGAAGGGACACATCCTGCTTACCCAACCCTAGAGAGGCTTAGGAGCAGGTTGGCAAGAACGAAGCTTGGGGACCCCAGAGTGTGCGTTGCGGTAACTGCTGCAGTCTAACCAGATAAACCCACATAGCTTGACTATTGCTAGCACCGTCTGGCCAGCTTTCCCGCTGCTTGTCCAGCTAGGACCACCCTCTCCGTTAGTTCAGGCTTTGGCGGCAGGGTTAACAGGAGCTGAGGGGGAGGATTCCCTACCCCCAGTGACTGGTCTGCCCTTCCAAGTCAAGTCAAGCTGATGAGCCAGGCCGGGCTGTGTTGTCATCAGGACCCATCTGGCTCAGGACCGGAGACCGTCACAGAGGGCTGGCTCGATTCCGGCATTCCATTGCCAAACATGCCACCTTGGAGCCCGTTTAGCTCCATGAAACTTTCGCTTACCTCCCCACCTCCGGGAGGATTGTCCCCACACCAATTCCTTTTCACTCCCTCCCACGTACACCCTCCAGGAATTGGATTGCCGGGGGAGATCCAGTCAGTGACACGGCTTTTCATTCCCTTTCGGAGGGCGACATCTTTATCAATGCGGCGTTCCCCCAGCGCAGTCAGTGCTGTCCGATGGGATTGGATGGGATTTGTTGTGACTGGTGCGTTGGGAAGAAGCTGAAGGTTCCATTAACGTTAACAATTCATGGAGCTGAGAATGTGGAATCGTGCGCATGGGGGTGGGAAGGGCCTGAGACGTCACGTGAGGCAGACGTGAGCCAGAGTCTGTGAGGGAGGAGGCCGCCCTGGTCAATGCTCGCTCTTTTCCCTCCTCATCCTAATCCCTCATAGTTCCTTGTCCCAATTCTGTCTGACCTGTCAGTCAGTAGCCCTGGTTAGACAGCTGTTGGTTACTATTGGTTAGCCAGGCGTGGTTAGCTGGGCACTGGTTAGTGTTATTTGGCTGGCAGATTGCCGTTTTCCCTCAAGGCTGAGCTGCTGTGATAATTATTAATTGTGGCAGTGAATGCAAGTCCATTATGGTCACATCACATTGAGCACAGCTGTCCGTCTGTCCAGGCTGATCGGCCGGCAGTGACTGGGTGGGCAGCGGATGGACTGGTGGGCAGGACGGTGGGCAAGGCAGACCTTCCCTTGCTGTGACGCTGGGGTTCACAGTTGGAAACAAAGCTCTCTCTGTGACACTCTATTGAGGGCGGTGCCTTTCCTCATCCTCTGAGGATGGGGGCACGGGGGAGGGGAACAAGGTCCACATCATAAACATCTGGGCACAAGACGCTGTGTGAGAGAGAGAGCGACGGATAGAGCCAGTCAGTCAGAGAGCGGCATACAGTGTGAGAGACAGAGATAGAAACTGCCAGAGAGAGAGATTCAGAGAGACAGAGAGTGAGAAAAAGAGACCAAGCAAAACGCTGTGAGAGACACAGAGCGACAGTCAGGAAGAGAGAGAGAAACAGCCAAAGAGATAGTGTTTGTGAGCGAGAGAGAGACACTGTGTGTGTGTGTGTGTGTGTGAGAGAGAGAGAGAGGGGCGGGGGGAAGAGGAACATTACAGAGAGAGTGAGGGGGGAGAGAGACAGACAGACAGACGGAGATACGGAGAGCGGGAGAGACGGAGAAAGCAACAGAGAGGGAGAGAGCGACAAAGAGGGGTAGACGGAGAGAACGACAGAGAGGGAGAGACGGGGAGAGCGACAGAGAGGGAGACGGAGAGCAACAGAGGGGGAGACGGGGAGAGCGACAGAGAGGGAGACGGGGAGAGCGACAGAGAGGGAGACGGAGAGCGCGACAGAGGGGGAGACGGGGAGAGCGACAGAGAGGGAGACGGGGAGAGCGACAGAGAGGGGGCTTGTCTTCACATCCCCCGAGGTGGATTATTCCGAGACTTGGAATATCTCTCTTTCCGTGACCTGGAAGTCTTGTGTCCAGGATGGGATCTGTGCTGAGCAGGAGAGAGACGCGGGAGGAAGGGGAGCAGCGTTTACAGAGACAGCGCGTGGCCAAGATTAATAGTAAGGTACCCGGAGTCTGTGCCTGCCAGGCTCAGCTCAGCCTCTTCGGGACAGGAGCACGAGAGTGTGTATGTGTGAGAGTGTGTGTGAGAGCACGAGTGTGAGAGCACGAGTGTGAGAGAGCGAGTGTGAGAGTGAGAGAGAGTGAGTGTGTGTGAGTGTGTGAGAGAGTGTGTGTGAGTGTGGGCGTGAGTGTCTGGGAGTGACTGAGAGAGAAAGATACAAAATGAGCATGTGAGAGTGAGCTGGAGGAGTGGGGCGGGGATGGGTGATGGTGTGAGAGAGAGAATATGCTGTGGAGTTCTAGTGATCTGGAGTTGCGGAGGGCGGAGCTGAAGAGACCAGCTTCAAAACACTGCTTACATTAATCCTTCATCTCAATTACCCTCATTTTGTAATAAGTAATTATGAGGCTCCGCTCGTCTCATATTCAGACAAGTGTTGTTTACATGTGTTTGTGGAGTCCTGTAGCTCAGTGGTTAGAGCATTCACTTTGCAAGTGAGAGACCTGAGTTCAATTCCAGGCAGAGGGCGAAACCTTGGGCAAGTTTCCTTACTCCACACAGAGCCTAATAATAATCCCTCCAAAACCAAAAACAATAATAAATTGGTCATTTTCAATCTACGACTGTTTGTGGGACATTGCTGTGCGCAATTGGCTGCCGCGTTCGCCCTCAAATATACAGTCAATTCACTTTACAGTGTGTTCTGTGAAGCGCTTTGGGACGTCCTCCCGACGTGAAAAGCGCTATATCAAATGCAACGATTATTATTATTATTATTCAACGTTTATATTTCTCTCCATTGGGGACTTACTACCTAACCATATCATCAACACATGTTAGAGATAAAGCTCCCTCTACCCTGTCCATGCCCACTCCCAGGTCAGTGACCACAGAATAGACACACAGTAAAGCCCTCTCTACACTATCTGTCCACTTCACAATAACTCCACCATTGTGAAGCACTCTGGGAACGCTATCCCACGTGAAGGGCGCTATATAAACCCAAATTCTTGCAGTCCACACTCCCAGGTCGGTGATGGCACGGGTTCCCTCTACACTATGCGTCCACGCTCCCAGGTCAGGGCTCGATTCCCAGTCAGGCAAAACGTTAGGAAACATTAGTTTCCTTACTCCACACGCCTCTGTTTACCAGCAGTAAGTAGAAACCTGATTGTTAGTCGATTGGCGGTTCGCTTTTCCAGAAAATAATCCCTTTTTTAAAAAAAACTTGTACTTATATAGCGCCCCCCACACAGGGTAGAGTCCCAGAGCGCTTGCCAGTGGCGGGAGGGATAGAGGAAGAGTGGTCCATAGTTTTGGGATGTAGTGGCTAAACCCACAACCTCCTGTTCGGGAGGTGAGAGCAAGTGACAGAGCATGGCTGGAAGCTGATTCCTTTACAATGAAAGTTTTTATTACAAAGGACAGAAATGGCAGATTCACAGCAAAATGGTTACAGAATGGAAGGGGAGGAAATCAGAGCCCATCGTCGCCCGGGGGAGTGGGGTGTGGAGGAGCGGGGGGAGAGCACAACAAAATGACTGACTGCTGCCGGCCATTTGCTTCCTGGTGTTTTGTTGAAGTTCCTGGCCAAGGAACAGGATAACATGGACCGAGGCCCAGAAGAGGTGGTTACACTGAGTCTGCGGTTTATCAGACTCAAACCCTGGTAGGGAAGCGCTGGAATTGGCTCTTCGTCACATACATGTTTAATGTGACCTCTTTACATGCTGCTCTCTCTGTCAGTATGGTTAATAATGGAACAGCAGTGAGGTGCAGGGCCCAGAGACCAGCAATGGTTCGTGATGCAGAGGTGCTGACTCTTCAGAAAGCTTCTTTAATAGAACTCACATTCGCTTTGCCTTTCACACTTCAACATAAGCTCTGTCTGTTAGCAAATGGTGGTGGGGGAATTCTAGCAAACCCAACTCCTTCCCATTAACTCCTGCTGTCCACATTCAGTCCACAAATGTGGGTGAGAGGAGCGGTTTGAATGTGTGGTGTTAGTTAGCTCGCGGAATGAAGGCTGATACCAAGCTGAGGTGCCTGAGGCATGCAGCTCGCTGCTAATTGGTGCAGGAGATGGGAGTCTGTCTGGCCGTGCGGACGGACAGCTGTGGGAATTTGCTGTGTTATTGGCCGGTTTGTGTATGTTTTCTGGTCAGTAGCTGCTTACGGAGAGACTGAAGGAGGGAGGGGGAGAAGGGGAGGGACTCCAGGAGGGAGGGGGAGAGGGGGAGGGACTCCAGGAGGGAGGGGGAGAGGGGGAGGGACTCCAGAAGGGAGGGGAGAGGGGGAGGGACTCCAGGAGGGAGGGGGAGAGGGGAGGGACTCCAGGAGGGAGGGGGAGAGGGGGACCGACTCCAGAGGGAGGGGGAGAGGGACTCCAGGAGGGAGGGGGAGAGGGGGAGGGACTCCAGGAGGGAGGGGGAGGGACTCCAGGAGGGAGGGGTAGGGACTCCAGGAGGGAGGGGGAGAGGGGGAGGGACTCCAGGAGGAGGGGGAGGGACTCCAGGAAAGAGGGGGAGGTACTCCAAGAAGGAGGGGGAGAGGGAGGGAGAGGGATTCCAGGATGGAATTCCGGAGAATGGAGGCAGAATGGCAGAAAGTCCGGCGGCTGATGGTGGGTTGCGTCAGGCGGGGGTTTGCTGAACTGTACATTTCATGTGAAATGTAGTGACTGTGTATGTTATAGGCAAATGTGGGAGCCAATTGCCACGCAGCGATGTCCCGCCAAACAGCTATGAAGTGAATGACCAATTCTATCTGGGGCATTGTCAGTCAGCACATCGGGAGACACACAGAAACTCCCTTCTCTTTCCCAACAGTGCCACGGGATCTTTAATATCAAATGCAAGGATTATTATTATGTCCACCTGAACAGGCACAGGCAGAGCCTCACTTTAATGTCTCATTTGTTTGTTAACAATCCTGAGACAAAAGGAATTGTTTGTCTGATTTTCCCCGTCATGTCTCCTCACTATGTTAAAGCCTTGAACACATCGCCTCTGGGTATGTGCAGCTCACCTCTGGCTGCTTGTGGATGGCTGTCGCACTTTGATCACCTCTCCCTTTCTCCTCTCTCATAGGCTGTGAACTGTCTCTGTTCCTCACAGCTCCGCGCTCTCTAAAGACTCTCTATCCTCACTGTTCTCACATACAACACTCTGATAATTATTATAAGAACGCAAGAATTTGCTAGACGCAAGTAGACCAAGGTCCATCTTGTTCACCTTCCACCATCCTGGCAGCTGCTTGACATGTCGTGTCCCAAACTATATACTGTATCTCTCCCCAGATATTACTTACTAGCAGAAACCCATCTAATTTGTTCTTGAAACAAACAACACTTTCTGCTTCCACCGTCTGCCTCCCTCGGGAGCCTGTTCCATACACTTACTACCCGCTCACTGAAGTAGTGTCTCTGCAGATTTGTTCTGAATTTACCCCCTTTCAATCGCAGGCCGTGTCCTGTGGTTCTACTGTTCAGCACAAGATAAAACAGCTTGTCATGGTCTACATTATCTATTCCCTTCAGAATCTTAAAGAGCGTAATCATATCGCCCGTCAACCTAATCTTTTCCAGTGTAAATATGCCTAGTTTATCTAATCGTTCCTCGTAGTCCAGTCCCTCCATCCCCTCAATCATTTTGGTTGCCCTCCTCTGTATCCTCTCAATCGCTGCAATATCCTTTTTATATTGCGGTGACCAGAACTGCGCACAGTACTCCAAGTGCGATCGTACTATTGTCTCCTTGTGGTTCTCACAAGCTGCTCGCTCTAATCACCGCGCTTTCCTCACAACTCTCACTCTGCTCTCTCTCTCCTCACATGTCTCACAGGCGAATCTGAAGAAATTTATGGAGAACATTCAGCTTTATAACTTCGAGAAAGTTTCCAAGATGCTGGAGAAAGGGCTGGACCCCAACTACCACGACCCGGACACGGGAGGTGAGGGGGAGGGAGAGCAGCATTCAGGACACATGGAATCCACATCTCTGGATCCTGTAGCTTAGTGGTTAGAGCGCTCACCTCGCAAACGAGAGGACCTGGGTTTGATTCCTGGACAGGGCGAAACGTTAGGCAAGTTTCCTTACACTCCGCCTCTGTTTACCAGCAGTAAGTAGTGGATTGACAGATTGCTTTCCGGGGGTGATAATCCTTTTTAAAAAAAATTTTTAAAATGTGGTCACTCAATTTGGTCACGGCTGTTTGTGGGACGCTGCTGTGCGCTATTGGCTGCTGAGTTTCACCCACAAAATATAAAGTCAATTCACTTCACAGATATTCTGTGAAGCGCTTTGAGACGTCTTGAAAACGTGATAAGATGCTATATCAAATGTAAGGATTATTATTATTGTTGTTATTATGCCTCTCGGGAGCTTGGCAATGACCTGTGAGGCATGACCACCCTCCCCATGATTCCTGGCCCCCTTGTGTCCCCTCCCCCCCCGTGGTGGGTGCTGTAAGCAGTGTCTCTCACTCTGACCCACAGAATGCCCTCTGACTGCGGCTGCCCAGCTGGTGAACAATGCTGACATCATCAAGGTGCTGCGCAATGGTGGAGCTCATCTGGACTTCAGGACGAGGGACGGGCTGACGGCACTTCACAAGGCAGCGCGTTGTCGCAACCACACGGCCCTGATAGTAGGTACCGCGTCATGGCTCCCTCCCCCTCACTCAGTCCCTCCCCCTCACTCAGTCCCTCTCCCTCACTCAGTTAAACCAAGGCCTCCTTCTGTCCCCCATTCAAGCAGAAGTTAAGGATCTATTGAGAAAAGAGAAGGGACTTTTGCTCTCCTGGTGTCCTGGCCAGCAATCTCCCACATAAACTGCACAGCTGTTTATGGCTGCTGCATTCATGTACACAACACACAATACACTTCAACAACAACAACAGCAAATTACATGCGTACAGCACCTTTCACGTCGAGAGGACGTCCCAAGGCGCTGGACAGTTAGGGATTTGTACCCAAGCTGGGGGTTAGGATCAGGAAGGTTGGAGGGCAGTGAAGGTGGGGGTAGAAAGGTGACCAAAGGCATGGTCAAAGAGGACGATCTTGACATGTGCCTTGAAGGAGGCAAGAGAGGGAGTGAGGCAAAGGGACTGTGGGATGGAATTCCAAAGGGTGGGGGCAGAGAAGGCTCGACCATCGATTCACTTCAGTGAATACCTTCCCAGCTCACATTCCTCACGATTTTCCACAACTGGTGGCGTTTGAATGTGTAAGATCGTTTGCCTCCACGGTCACTACATGATGATAAAGACGGCAGGTGGTGAGGCGTGTATCAGATGAAGGCTGAGACCAACATGTGGCCTGTTCACACACAGACGCTGCTGGACCTGGGAGCATCTCCGGATTACAAGGACAGCCGGGGCCTGACACCACTGTACCACAGCGCCATGGTGGGTGGTGATCCCTACTGCTGTGAGCTCATCCTCCACGACCATGCCACTGTGGGCTGCATGGATGAAAATGGCTGGCAGGAAATCCACCAAGTAAGTGTCCTGGCTCATTCCATAGCTCTAAATGGCTGTATCACACCAGAACCCTGACTTACACCCGCACTCTTCCCCTCCTTCCCCTGCTATCCTCTGCTGTCTCCTGTATCCCTAATATTCACCTCTGCTTCACTCTCTGTGCTGGTTGACGTGTATGTGTTGTGGATAACACGTGTATGCTGTGTTGTGACTGACTTGCATGTGTTGTGGCTGACACGTGTGTGCTGTGTCGTTGACAGGCCTGTCGTTACGGACACGTGCAGCAGTTGGAGCATTTGCTGTTCTATGGGGCAGACATGGGGGCTCAAAATGCCTCGGGCAACACTGCATTGCACATCTGTGCCCTCTACAACCAGGTCAGTGCGGTGGGGAGGAAGTGCAGTGGAGGGGGGATGTGGGAGGGGCTTAGGTGGGCTGGGGAGGAAGTGTAGTGGTGGGGAGTGGGGCTGTGGGGGGAGTGGGGCTGTGTGGGGAGGGGTATAGGCGGAATGGGGGGAGGGCGGTAGTGGTGGGGAGTGGGGCTGTGGGGGAAGTGGGGCTGTCGGGGCATGGGCTTGTGGGGGGAGTGGGCTTGTGGGGGGCATGGGCTTGTGGGGGGAGTGGGCTTGTGGGGGAGAGGTGGTAAAGGATGGCTGTGGGGGGCAGTGGGCTGTGGGCGCTGGTTGGCAGCACTTGTGAATTATGAACTTACACAATTTTGTATAAATTTAAACTTAAGAATTCTCCACAATTTTGCGGCGACTTTAGCGATAGGGAGATGTGTGTCAGGCTGTGCGCAGACACAGACTCACATCATTGACATTTTGTGAGAGAGAGAGAGAGACAGAGAGACAGAGAGACCAGTGTGGAGAGGAGGGTTTATTTGCTGTGGGGACGAAGGTCAGAGTGTTGCTGTTACACGCTCAGTCTCATTTGTAAATCTCAAGCAGATTCACGGTCAATAAAATAATCTGACGTTTGATACATTGCCGTTCACGACAGACGTGTCAGGATTCACTGTAAATTCATTGTCTTTGTCTGTATTTGTCCCAGGATTGTTGTCATCCAAACCTACACAGGCAGGCCCTTGGTTTAAGGTCTGGTCTGAAGTGGGTATAATGTGATGCTAATAATACTTGCATTTGATATAGCACTTTATCAACAACAGCTTGCACTTTTATAGCACCCTCCATGCAGGGTAGCAATTCAGGGCGCTTAACACTGACTCCGGAGGGAGGGGGAGGTGACCATAGGTATGGTCGAAAAGGAAGGTTTTCAGGCAAGACTTGAAAAAGGGGAGAGAAGGGGCAAGCGGAGGGAATGAGGGAGAGTGTTCCACAGTTTCAGAGGCATAGTGGCTGAAATGGTGGAGTGGAGGGTGCAAGGGACAAGTAAGAGGCCGATGCCAGTCGAGCGGAGGCGTCAGGTGGTGAATTGGGGAGTGAGGAGGTCGGAGAGCTTATCACGTTTTCGAGACGTCTCAAAACGCTTCACAGAATATACTGTAAAGTGGATTCACTGTGTATTTTGAGGGCGAAACGCGGCAGCCATTTGCACACAGCAGTGTCCCGTAAAGAGTCGTGGATTGAGTGACCAAATTATTATTATTATTTTGTTCAAGGAATTATTTTGCCCAGAAAAGCAATCCGCCAATCAACCAACAACTGGGTACCTTCTTAACTGCTAGGCAAACAGAGGCGTGTGGTGTAAGGAAACTTTCCTAATGTTTCGCCCTGACTGGGAATCGAATTTAGGTCCTCTCGCTTGCGAGGTGAACCCTCCAACCACTACGCTACAGGAATCCATAATCTCATTCTGCTAATACCCAGTATGTATATGAGCGTCCGAACCAGCTAAAACCTCATTATATCATTGTACAAACTGTCTGAATGTTGACCTACAAATCCACGGTCACTACACTTGGTGGTGGATCCCGTGAAGCACTTTAAAGAGGAGAGAGAGAAGCAGTCATGGTGTGGAGGTTAATCCCAATTGTCAGTGAAGGACAGAAGATAAGGGCAGAGTGTGGGTGGGGGGATATTGATTGAAATTAGTGCTAAATTTACAAGCTTATAGAGCAGTGGCAGCCCTGGGCCCTGAGGAGCCTGTGTGAGTGACAGCCCGCCTCAGCCCCATTACAGATAACGCTGGCTGCTCAGACTGTTTCATGCTCTGACTGGTAATCCATGCTGGAGATTAGCATTTCATTCCGAGACAGCACATCTGTCCTTGACTTGTTCCCGATCCAACCTCCGGGGCAGAGGGAGAGAGGAAAGAAGAGCAAAGAGTAGAAATGCAAACATTTTATCACGGCTTAAAGCTCTTCACAGGATCTGCTGTGAGGCGCAGTGATTGTGCACTTGTCGGTCAACATTCAGACAATTTGCGTAGTTTTTTTTACTGTTTGTGGGACGTCGAGGTGCGCAATTGGCTGCCGCATTTCGCACACAAGATATGCAGTCAATTCACATTACAGTATATCCTGTGTAGCGCTTTGGGACGTCTCAATGACGTGATAAGGCGCAATATCAAATGCAAGGATTATTATCATTATTAGTGACATAACAATGCAGTGCTTCCTCCAGCACTGTGCTGGAGCATCAGCTCAGACTATGAGCTCAAAGTACCTGATATAAAGAAGGAGAGTGTGAGAGACAAAAGGAGAGTGGGGGTGTGGAGAGAGAGACTGGAGAAGGAAAATGAGAGAGAGCGCGAGAGAAGCCAAGAGAGATAGTAAGCAAAGAGAAACAATAATACTCCTTGCATTTGATATAGCGCCTTATAACGTCTTTGAGATGTCTCAAAGCGCTTTGCAGAATATAAAGTGAATTGACTGTATATGTTGTGGGCGAAAGAAAAAGAAGAGAGAGAGTGGGGTGAGGTGACGTGAGAGCGAGAGAGAAGCCAAGAGAGAGCAGGAGTGAAGCTGTGCAGGGTGATTGAAGTCAGGATTGTCTGACTCAGCACGAAACACACTGACACGGAAAGCTCGCCTCTGGGAACCAATTAAGATCTCTTTAGATCTTTAGATCTAAAGCCCACTTTAGATCTCTTATGCTGAGAAGCATTTTCCCTTTTTAAGATCATCTTTAATAAGCCTTACGCCACATTTGATGTATGAGATCTTCAGCTGCTGAAATCAGACCTCCTCCCTGAGTGTGAGGACACCGATCGGTCAAAGAAAACTCTCAAACAAGACAACACTGCTACCAACACATTTCTATGGAATCCTGAAGCTCAGTGGTTAGAGAACTCGCTTTGCAAGCAAGAGGACTTGGGTTCGATTCCCAGACAGAGCCAAACCTTAGGCAAGTTTCCTTACTCCACACGCCTGTTTACCTAGCAGTAAGTAGGAACCTGGTTATTAGTTGATTGGTGGATCGCTTTACCGGGGCTAATCCCTTCAAAATAATAATAATAATTTGATCACTCAGTCCATGACTGTTTCTGGGACGCTGCTGTGCGCAATTAGTTGCCATGTTTTGCCCACAAAATATACAATCAATTCACTTTACAGCATATTCTATGAAGCGCTTTGAGACGTCTCGAAGACATGATAACAACAACAACAAGATTCCATTTATAGAGCGCCTTTCACGTCGGGAGGACGTCCCAAGGCGCTGTACAGTTGGGTCAGGACCCGAGCATTGGGGGAAATGGTCAGGGTGAGGAGAGTGAAGGGAGGGAGCGAGGAGAGGGTAGAGAGTCGAGAGGGGAGCTGAAGGCACGGTCAAAGAGAAAGGTCTTGAGACCGGCCTTGAAGGAGGAAAGGGAGGAAGCGACGAAGGCACTGGGGGATGGAGTTCCAGAGCCTCGGGGCTGAGAGGCTGAAGGCCACTGATGGTAGGGCGGTTGGGGCGGGGGATGTGGAGCAGACCGGAGCCAGAGGAACGGAGGGTACGGGCAGGTAAGTAGGGGGATAGTAGGTCGGAGAGGTAGGAGGGAGCAAGGCCGTGAATGGCCTTGTAGGTGAGGATGAGGATCTTGAATTCGATCCTCTGGGGGATGGGGAGCCAGTGGAGGCGAGCGAGGGCGAGGGTGGGAGTGATGTGGTTGCGAAGCCTGGTGCGGGACAGTACACGAGCTGCAGAGTTCTGAAGGCGTAATATCAAGTGCAACTATTATTATTTCATCCCAGCTCAGCTCTCCGAAAATAAAACAGCAAATGCCTCTCATTACCACTCTTTGATGAAGAGACACAGAGGTGCGTGGGGGAAGGGTTGTCTTGCTTTTAAATCCTTCGTTCACTCATCTTTTTGGATGTCTCTATGAAGCACAGAGATGAAATGGAAATGACTGTGTTTGGATTTCATCATGTTTGTTAACAGTGAATCCACAGATACAGCCTGCCTTGTGACAGCTCCTTGTGTCCTTAATTTTATGCCGAGTGTAGGATGGTTTCATACACAGAACGAATTATGTAACGTTTCCATGGGATTTTTCTCTGGCTTGCCTCGTGGTGAGCACAGACGCACTGTGTTAGGAATGAGGTGACACATTGTGTGTGCAGAGGAGGGTTGTCTGAAGCTCTGGGGGTGCCAGGTATGATTAACTCCAATGCTTTGCGCACACTGTGTGTTTGTGTGTGTACATGTGTGTACATGTGTGTACAGTGTGTGCATGTATGTGTGCCTGTTCAGGCAGACATTAAAAATCTCATGACACGACTTGAAAAGAAAAGGGAGTTTCTCTCTCCCCACAGTGTCCTGGCCGACAATCCCCCAGATAAAATCGCTCGCTCACTTCATGGCTGTTTGTGGGACATGGCTGTGTGCAGATTGGTTGTTGTATTCGCCTAAAGACACAGTCACCACACTTTACAATGAATCCTGTGAAGTGCTTTGAGATGTCCTCCTGATGTGAAAGCATGATATCAAAATCAAAATGACTGTTATTTTATTTTTGCCGAGGCAGCCAGTGTGTTGGCGTTGCAGGTGGTCTGCGCTCAGTGAGACTGTGGGGTGAACCGGAGACTCAGCAGATAGTTCCCAGAACTCTGAAAAATGGCTGACAGCCAGTGGCAGCGCCAAGACCCAAACCGGGACTGTATCCATGACGATTATCATAACTATGACTGACTGAAACCACTACGCTGTAACCAACTGTATATTCACTGTGTACAGCGAGCTGTACTCTATATATAGTGGAGGCCTGTAGCTTGGTGGTTAGAGCACTCGCCTCGCAAGCGAGAGGACATGCGTTCGATTCCCGGCAGGGTGAAACGTTGGACAAGTTTCCTTATTCCACACACCTCTGTTTACCAGCAGTCAGTAGGAACCCGGTTGTTATTCGATTGGCTTTTCCAGGGGTAATAACCCCTTCACAAAAAAATAATAATATTAATAATTTAGTCACTCAATCCACGACTGTTTGTGGGACATTGCTGTGCGCAATTGGCGGCCGCCTTTCATCAACAACAAAATTACATTTATAGAGCGCCTTTCATGTCGGGAGGACGTCCCAAAGTGCTGGACAGTCAGAGGTCGGGACCCGAACATGGGCGAGGGTGGGAGTGATGGTGTCATGGAGGCTGGTGCACGAGAGTACACGAGCTGCAGAGTTTTGGATGATCTACAGCTTGTGAAGGGAAGAGTCGGGAAGGCCGATGAGGAGGGAGTTTCCATAATCGAGCCTTGATGTGACGAATGCGTGGGTGAGGGTTTGGGGGCCTGAGGGGTGAGGCAGTGGCGGAGTCTGGCAATGTTGCGGAGGTGGTGGTAGGCCGTGCCAGTCATGGTGCGGATGTGGGGGAGAAAGGCAGTTCATGGTCAAACAAGACACAGGGTCCTGACTGGCTCAGTGAGATTGAGTGTGCAGCCGTGGTTGCTGACGCTGCCAGTGCCTGAGGTGCAGAGGCGCTGGCACGAGCTAATCAGGAGGGCCTCGGTCTTGCTGACGTTCAGCTGGAAAAAATTGTCCCTCGACCAGGACTTGATGTCGGACAGGCAGTCGATCAGGACGCCAGTTGTCCCGGAGGGTGGAAGCAGAGAGATAGAGTTGAGTGTCATCCGCATACATGTGGAAATTTACCCCATGTCTGCGGATGATATCACCAAGTGGGAGCATGTAGAGGGTGAAGAGGAGAGGACCGAGGACAGAGCTCTGAGGAACACCACACGCCCACAAAATGTACAGTCAATTCAGTTTACAGTATATCCTGGGAAGTGCTTTGAGACTCTCGAAGACGTGATAAGAAGCTATTATCAAACACAAGGTTATCATTACCATATATAATAATAATAATCCTCGCATTTGATACAACGCCTTATCACATCGTTGAAACTTCTCAAAGCGTTTCACAGGATTTTTTTGGAGGGATTATTACCCCTGGAAAGCGATCCCCCAATCAACTAACAAGCGAGTTTCTAGTTACTGCTAGGTAAACAGAGGCATGTGTGGAGTAAGGCAACTTGCCGAAGGTTTCGCCCTGTCCTGCCCGGGAATCAAACGCAGGTCCTCTCGCTTGCGAGGCGAGGGCTCTAACCACTAAGGTACAGGGCATCACGTCTTAAATGGGGAAACTCTCCTCTCTCCCGTCAATGTGTTTCAATCGAAGAGAGGACATCTGTCCCAATGTCCTGTAGAGACTGAAACACTAAACTCCCACTTAGATATTCCACATATGCTCTGGATGACAGTCCAAACCCAAACTTGTGCATCGGGGTAGTCTGTCCACTGTTGATGAGATCCACCCCAGGTCTGAGGAGAATCGGCCTCACTCATGGTGAAGTGGTAATTCATCACCTGGCTCAGCCATTCGTGGGGATTCCCACCTCTGCGGTCTGAGATCCGAATGATGAAATCAATGCTGTTGTTGGCAATGGTGACCACAATGTCTGGCACGTTATATGGACTCTCAATGTGGCTCTCCATCGTGGCTCTCATGGAGTTTTTCAGCAGTTTGGGCAGGATGTAATAAGAGGGATAGGAATGTAGGGAAAACGAGCAGCGACATGTCCACTGATCCTGACACGAGGAGTGTTCCCATACTTGTGCTCACGCAGCCACCCATTTCTCTGATATTTTTGGGAGAAAGTCTAGTGCAGATAATTCCTAGAAAGTCAGGCTTATCTTTGTGCAGTGCGAGGCGCTGCGAAGCTAATATGCAGATTCCTAGCTAAGATATTCCCTGTGTACAGGGAGCTGTACTGTATATTCACTGTGTACAGGAAGCTGTACTGTATATTCACTGTGTACAGAAAGCTGTACTGTATACTCACCATGTACAGGGAGTTGTACTGTGTATGCTACGTGTACGGGGAGCTGTACTGTATATTCACAGTGTACAGGGAGCTATACTGTATACGCGCCAAGTATGGGGAGCTGTACTGTATATTCACAGCGTATACAGGGAGCTGTACTGAATATGTGCCGTGTGCAGGGTGCTGTGCTGTATATGCGGTGTGTACAGAGAGTTGTACGCTATATGCGCTGTGCACAGGGAGCTGTACGGATTTGTGCAGTGCACAGGGAGCTGTACGGATTTGTGCAGTGCACAGGAGCTGTAGTGTATATGCGCTGTGTCCAGGGAGCTGTACTGTATATGCGCTGTGTACAGGGAGCTGTACGGTGTATGCCCTGTGTACGGGGAGCTGTACAGTGTATGCCCTGTGTACAGGGAGCTGTACGGTGTATGCCATGTGTACGGGAAGCTGTACGGTGTATGCCCCGTGTACGGGGAGCTGTACGGTGTATTCCCTGTGTACGGGGAGCTGCACGGTGTATGCCCTGTGTACGGGGAGCTGTACGGTGTATGCCCTGTGTACGGGGAGCTGTACAGTGTATGGGGAGTTGTATTTGCCATGGGGACTCTATTTAGAGTCGGATTTTGGCCAAAACCAATTTTAAAAGTAAAAAATCAGTGAGAGGACATTGGCTGTGAGGATAGAGAGGATATAGGCTGTGGGGAGTGAGGGCATGGCTGTGGGGAGTGAGGGCATGGCTGTGGGGAGAGAGAGAAGCTGTGAGAGGGAGAGAGAGAGAGGCTGTGAGGTGAGAGAGAAGCTGTGAGGGAGAGTGGACATGGCTGTGAGGAGAGAGAGAAGCTGTGAGGGGGAGGGCAGACATGGGCTGTGAAGAGAGAGAGAGGACATGACTGTGAGGAGGTGATAGATAACCAAAGGTCTGGTCAAAGAGAGGTAGGTTTTGAGACTGACCTTGAATGAGATGAGGGAGGGAAGGAGTTTGAGGGATCAGGCTGGGGTGGAGTTCAAGCACAGAGAGGCTGAAAATCGGTGGTGGGCAGTGAATTCACTGATGTGCATGAAGTGTGGGGCTGGCTGTTGGCCAGGATGCTTTTGTTGGTGAGCGAGTTTGTCCCCACTTAGCCCCCACTGAGCAGAATTAAAGTGAATCATGTTCCTGAAACGGGAACTTAGGTTGATCCCAGGTAGTCCTTTCCCCTTAAATCTGGGTCAAATTTTTAGAAGACTACAAAGTCCCGATTCTTTGCTCATGACCATTCGTGTAATTGAAATGGCTGGATTGCCTCTCCAACCAACGTAAGCCTGGCATGAGCCTGGTGATTATTGCCATGGGCTCAGGATAGATCAGTATTCCAATTTCTCCACTGCTCGGTGTGAGGGCTGATCAACTCCTCAGATCGGGACCCCTGTAATCCCACTCGCAGCCAAGAGGAGCTAAAGTTCTGTGTAATGGGTGTTGTACAATATATTCACTGTGTACAAGCTGCTGTAAGTTATATTCACTGTGTACAAGGCGCTGCACTTTATATTCACTGTGCCACAGGGTGCTGGATGCCAGCATTTGCCCTGTGTATGTAGTGCTGTGTTGCTGTGTGTGTGCTGTGTGTAACCTCTGCTCTGCACTCTTTCTGCAGGACAGCTGTGCAAGGGTGTTGCTTTTCCGAGGGGCTGACAAGGAGATTAAGAACTACAACAGTCAGTCGGCATTCCAGGTAGGAGAGAGATTCTGAGCCACATTCCCTCTGCCCTGGAGCTCAGAGAATGTCACAGCGCAGGAGGAGGCCATTTGGCCCTATCCCAGATCTCTGACCGAGCTCTCCCACCAAACACCTTTTTATATTTTTATTATGAATTCTATATAAGTGCAAGTTGTTCAACCACATAACTTACTATTGAGACAACTTGGGAAGCTTTCCTACTGCTTGTCCAACTTGGGCTATCCTACCTGTTAGGGCTTTCGCTCGCAGGGTTAACAGGAGCTGAGCGGGAAGAATCCCTGCTAAGAATGTCTGGTCTGGTCTAAGAATGTCGAATTGAAGATCCTCATCCTCACCTACAAGGCCATTCACCGCCTCACTCCCTCCTACCTCTCCGACCTACTATCCCCCTACCTACCTACCCATACCCTCCGTTCCTCCGGCTCCGGTCTGCTCCACATCCCCCGCCCCAACCGCCCGACCATCGGTGGCCTTCAGCCTCTCAGCCCCGAGGCTCTGGAACTCTATCCCCTAGTGCCTTCGCCGCTTCCTCCCTTTCCTCCTTCAAGGCCGGTCTCAAGACCTTTCTCTTTGACTGTGCCTTCAGCTCCCCTCTCGACTCTACCCCCTCCTCGTTCCCTCCCTTCCCTCCCCTCACCCTGACCATTTCCCCCCTCCTCGCTCCCTCCTCCCTCCCCTCCCCCGACCATATCCCCCCTCCTCGCTCCCCCTTCCCTCCTCTCACCCTGACCATCTCCCCTCCTCGCTCCCTCCCTTCCCTCACCCTGACCATTTCCCCCTCCTCGCTCCCTCCCTTCCCTCCCCTTGACCATTTCCCCCAATGCTCGGGTCCTGACCCAACTGTACAGCGCCTTGGGACGTCCTCCCGACGTGAAAGGCGCTCTATAAATGGAACCTTGTTGTTGTTGTTGTCTGCACCTCCAAGACTTGCCAATGAGCCAGGCTGGGCTGGCTTATCAGCCGTGCCCTGGAATACTGTGGACATGCCTGGCTCAGGAGCCGGACTACCAGACCGCCACAGAGGGCTAACTGGCAGAAATTAATGTATAGATTCTCAGTATGGTGGGGGTTAACACCGATTCCCAGGCTGTTGAGTGTTAATGCAGGGATTCCTGGTCTGGAAAGGTTTAACAGAGATTCCCGATCTGGCGGGGGTTTATGAACTCTATTCTCAACATGTTTCCCGATTGGCATCCACTGCCACTCACTGTGGTGATCAATCTCCAACAGCCGTGCCGATGCTGGTTGCCATAGTGATGCCGAGCAGTAATTACACATATTTCCGCTCCAGCCCCTCATCAGTCACAGTGACACGAACACGGTCAGATTACAGATTTTACAGTGAACAGTGAAGGCCTCTAACTCAGTGGTTAGAGCACTCTGCCACCACCCTCTTAAACTCTATCCCACAGTCCCTCCGCCTCGCCCCCTCCCTTGCCTCGTTCAAGACCCGTCTCAAGACCTTCCTCTTCGACCATGACTTTGGTCACCCTCCTTCCCTCCCCTGCCCCCCCACCCCGCCACCCTGATCCTGACCCTCAGTTTGAGTCTGAAGCAGATTGTCCAGCGCCTTGGGATGTCCTCCCGACATGACATGCTATACAAATGTAACCTTGTTGTTGTTGTTGATGTGAGGCTTGAACCTACAGCCTCTTGACTCAGGGGTACCAGTGTGACTGACATATTTAAGGTTGCCTCCTGTGCTCTCCAGTGAATCCAAGGTAAAGGCCGGGCCCAGTGTGGACTTGAGAGTGCAGATCAGCAGGCCCCAGGTGCTCTTAGTAATCCATGTGTTCTTCCCTCATTTCAACAAGGTTCAGAAGTCTCGCTTACAGTTGGCCTCAGTGCTCCCTGGGCTGGGGAAAGGGTAGGGAATAAGCCATGGTTCCTGCTCCAATCTATAGAATAACAGCCTGTGTGTGTATTATGGAGAATAGCAACCTGTGTGTGTGTGTGTGTTATAGAGAATAGCAGCCCATGTGTGTACTATAGAGAAAAGCAGCCTGTATGTGTTATAGAGAATAGCACTCCCTGCGTGTGTGTGTTATTGAGAATAGCAGCTCGTGTACGTGTGATTTATAGAATAGCAGTCTCTGTTACTGAATTGTGAATCCATTTACGGAGACCAGAGCATTCTGCGGTCTGTTTAATAACCTCTGTACAGACAGTCACAGCACTGAATGAAAGTCATGTGTGGAGAGATTGAGGATGCAGGTTTGTGTGTGCAGGGTGGAGAGGAGCTGCTTATTGTAACCGCCTGTGCACGCTTGGTCAGGCTGTGACAAGCAATGTGTAACTCTTGTGTATTACAAGTGGCTGCTGGAGGAGCCCTGCGACAGCTCCAGCGTGTAAATGAGGGCTGTGCTGGGGCGGAGGAGCTGGCACAACACAGGCTGCGAGGCTGCAGCAGTGATAAATCTCCGGGTATTTTTAGGTGCCGTGTCAGCACTGGTTTGCGATGTGCTCTGGATATTGAAAGTTCCTGGATGATAAATGACCAGCTTCATGAATGTGTTTTTGGGCAATCAGGCAGCAATCTGTTTCTGAGAGGAAAGGGAGGGGGCGAGAGGCGGAGAGGAGAGATGTAGAGTGGGGGGGAAGAGAGGGGTAAAGAAGGGAGAATAGGAGAGAGGGGTAAAAGTAAGAGAGCGAGAGAAGGGAAGGGGGTAAAGGAGGAAGAGAGAAGGGAGTGGGCGTGGGGGGTGAGAGTGGGTGTGGGGGGTGAGAGTGGGCGTGGGGGGCAGAGTGGGCGTGGGGGGCAGAGTGGGCGTGGGGGGCAGAGTGGGCGTGGGGGGCAGAGTGGGCGTGGGGGGCAGAGTGGGCGTGGGGGGCAGAGTGGGCGTGGGGGGCAGAGTAGGGGTGCGGGGCAGAGTGGGCGTGGGGGGGAGAGTGGGCGTGGGGGGGAGAGTGAGTGTGGCCGGGGAGGGAGGGGACAATTTCAAGAGAAGTGAGGATTGGTGAAATGGAGCCAGGCAGATTACAGGGGGAATCATGCCAGTGGCTATGGGAAGCACGGTGTGGTGTGGTGGGACCTGGTGAGAGAGCAGGGTGTGAGCCTGACACTAACCACACCATTCTCTTACCTGGTATTCACTACTCATGCTCTGACTTTCTATATCCACACAACGGCTCTGCTCATTTGACAGCTGTGAGACAATATGGCACTAGCAACTATCAGAGGGTCATAGAATTATACAGGACAGAAGGAGGCCATTCAGTCCATCGTTGTCTGTGTCGGCTCTTTGAAAAGAGCTACTAAATCAATCCCATTTCCCATAGCCGTGGGTCTCTCTCTCTGGGGCCCTGCACAAATAATTGTCTCCTCTCCACATGCTGCTTCAGATCCCTTCTTCTTACCCACCTCCCCCGAATCATCTGATGAGACGTTAAACCGAGTTGCTACCTGCCTTTAGAGATCCTTTGACTTTATTGGAAAGAAAAGAGCATTTCTCCTGGTGATGGCCAATAATGCTCCTGAGAATTTTTTTCTCCAGTTGAATGTCGACAAGACCGAGGCTCTCCTGATTGGCTCCTGTCAGCGCCTCCTCACCTCAGGTGCTGACAGCTTCACTATTCATGGATGCCCTGAGCCACCTCACTGAGCCGGTCTGGAACCTTGGCGTCTTGTCTGACCCTCAATTGTCCTTTCTACCCCACATCCGTGCCATGACCCTCTCTGCCTTCACCCACCTCCATAATATTACCCGCCTCAGCCATTGTCTCTCCCCTATCCATGCCTTAATTATGATAATTCCCTACTCACTGGACTTCCCAACTCTTCCCTCCACAAACTGCGGATTATTTGTGGAGTGAGAGACGGACGGGGTGGGGAGTGAGAGACGGACTGGGTGGGGAGTGAGAGACGGACGGGGTGGGGAGTGAGAGACGGACGGGGTGGGGAGTGAGAGACGGACGGGGTGGGGAGTGAGAGACGGACGGGGTGGGGAGTGAGAGGCGGACGGGGTGGGGAGTGAGAGACGGACGGGGTGGGGAGTGAGTGACGGACGGGGTGGGGAGTGAGAGACGGACTGGGTGGGGAGTGAGAGACGGACGGGGTGGGGAGTGAGAGACGGACGGGGTGGGGAGTGAGAGACGGACGGGGTGGGGAGTGAGTGACGGACCGGGTTGGGGAGTGAGTGACGGACGGCGTGGGGAGTGACGACTGCACAGTGATATTGTTGTTTGCTCTCTTCGCTGCAGGTTGCTATTATTGCTGGGAACTTTGAGCTGGCTGAGATCATCAAACATCACAAGCAAGCCGATGTTGGTGAGTGTGAGCCTCACTTTCACTCTCACTTCAGTGCCTGACCGTTTAATGGTTGCTTCTTCAGAGGAGAGGTTCTTTTTTTTCTCCAGTTGAATGTCGACAAGACCGAGGCTCTCCTGATTGGCTCCTATCAGCGCCTCCTCACCTCAGGTGCTGACAGCTTCACTGTTCATGGATGCCCTGAGCCACCTCACTGAGCCGGTCTGAAACCTTGGGGGGAGGGGGGAGGAAGCACAGCTCAGACTGACGCTCTGGTACAGTGCTGAGGGAAGAGAAACATCAAAGGTACCGAATTTGGATTAGATGTTGAGCCGTCCTGTGACACTACTGAAAAAGAGAAGGGAGTTTCTCCTGGTGTCTGGGCAAAGAATAGAGCCCTCGCCTCGCAAGCAAGAGGACCTGGTTTTGATTCCCAGGCAGGGCGAAACGTTAGGCAAGTCTCCTTACTCCACACACCTCTGTTTACCCAGCAGTAAGTAGGAACGTGGTTGTTAGTCAATTGGTGGATCACTTTTCCGGGAGTAACAATCCCTTCAAATGTTTTTTGAAACAGTAATAATAAATTGCTCATTCAATCCACAGCTGTCTGTGGGACGCTCTGTGCACAATTGGCTGCCGCGTTTCACCCACAACTTACAGTCAATTCAATTTACAGTTTATTTGGGAAGCGCTTTGAGACGTCTCGAAGATGTGATAAGTCGCTGTATCAAATACAAGGATTTATTATCTGAACATCTTACTTTGGAGTTGATCCTCTAATTTATAGCATTTGCTGCTAGTGCTGAGCCTGGTATGCTGCTGGTGTGGGGGGAGTTGTCTGTGATTGTAGATGACTTGCCAGCTAGTTATGTTGTCCTGTATCACCCGGGATGGGATGTGGGGCAGCGAGCTGGCTCTCACACTGCTCGGCTGCTTGGCCTGTCTCCCTAATTGATTTCTCTCTCTGCACCGAGAGACAAGTTTCCATTAATCCTCGCTACTGAAACTGGCCGAATAAAATTAAAAAACGCCTGGTGATCACAAATGTAATTTGTATTCAGTTCTGGGCATCCGACTGAAGCAAGGATATATACTGGCCTTGAGAGGAGCGAGAGCCAGCAGTGACTCAGCAGCCTCCGCTCGGCTGGCTCTGGCCGCCTGTTTGTCCCTCGTGCCCCCCGCTCCACCAGCGGTGGCTGCGCTTTCACTCTCTCCCTCAATCCCTCCGCCATGCCCCCTACCCCCTTCCCCTCCGCCATGCCCCCTACCCCCTTCCCCCCCCCCCCCCCCCCCCCCGCCATGCCCCCTACCCCCTTCCCCTCCGCCATGCCCCCTACCCCCTTCCCCTCCGCCATGCCCCCTACCCCCTTCCCCTCCGCCATGCCCCCTACCCCCTTCCCCTCCGCCATGCCCCCTACCCCCTTCCCCTCCGCCATGCCCCCTACCCCCTTCCCCTCCGCCATGCCCCCTACCCCCTTCCCCTCCGCCATGCCCCCTACCCCCTTCCCCCCGCCATGCCCCCTACCCCCTTCCCCTCCGCCATGCCCCCTACCCCCTTCCCCCCGCCATGCCCCCTACCCCCTTCCCCTCCGCCATGCCCCCTACCCCCTTCCCCTCCGCCATGCCCCCTACCCCCTTCCCCTCCGCCATGCCCCCTACCCCCTTCCCCTCCGCCATGCCCCCTACCCCCTTCCCCTCCGCCATGCCCCCTACCCCTTCCCCTCCGCCATGCCCCCTACCCCCTTCCCCTCCGCCATGCCCCCTACCCCTTCCCCTCCGCCATGCCCCTACCCCCTTCCCCCCGCCATGCCCCCTACCCCCTTCCCCTCCGCCATGCCCCCTACCCCCTTCCCCCCGCCATGCCCCCTACCCCCTTCCCCCCGCCATGCCCCCTACCCCCTTCCCCTCCGCCATGCCCCCTACCCCCTTCCCCTCCGCCATGCCCCCTACCCCCTTCCCCTCCGCCATGCCCCCTACCCCCTTCCCCTCCGCCATGCCCCCTACCCCCTTCCCCCCGCCATGCCCCCTACCCCCTTCCCCTCCGCCATGCCCCCTACCCCCTTCCCCTCCGCCATGCCCCCTACCCCCTTCCCCTCCGCCATGCCCCCTACCCCCTTCCCCTCCGCCATGCCCCCTACCCCCTTCCCCTCCGCCATGCCCCCCTACCCCCTTCCCCTCCTTTAGACCACAACTGAAGACCTTGCTCTTCGACCAGGCTTATGGTCACCTCCTCCCTTCCCTCCGGCTTGGCATCAGGCTCCGACACTGCTAAGCACTCCCAAGACACTGCCCTGCGTGAAGGGTGCTGTGTAAATGCAAGTTGTTGTTGTAGTCAGGCTAACTGCACCTGTTACACAAACTAGCGGTCACACAGTGACAGAGCCGGGCTTTGGTGCTTTCTCGTAGCCACTCCTGATCCACCTTTATTTGCTTCATGATGAGCCACGGAGTGTGTATGGATCCAGGTACACAGCGTGGAGAGGGAGCCCAGGAAAACATCATAACACTCAACAGTCCTATCTCTCCCTTGCCTTCTCGCTCGCCCACTCCCTCGCTCGCCCACTCCCTCCCTCGCCCTTTCCCTCGCCCACTCCCTCGCTCGCCCACTCCCTCGCTCGCCCACTCCCTCCCTCGCCCTTTCCCTCGCCCACTCCCTCCTTCGCCCACTCCCTAGCTCGCCCACTTCCTCCTTCATTTTCCCGCTCTCTTCACCTCATTCTTTCATTCTTTACCTCATTTTTCATTCTCCACCACCACCATCAGCTCCCTCTCAGCCTGGGATCCCACTCAGTCTTTGTAAAGTGCTTTGAGACATTCGTCCATCTCATGAAAAATTGCTGTTCTAGTGAAAAAAGCTCCAACTTCTCAAGTCTCTTCAAAACTGAAAACCCTCATCTCTGATAACAAGCTGCCTCTCAATCAGAAGGTTGTGGGTTCAAGCCTCGAGTCGGGACTTGCAATCCTTATCGTCTAGGCAGACACTCCAGTGCACAGCTTTCCGACGCTGTACTTTCCTGTGTCTTGATGTCCTTCCTAAGGCAGAAATGGGGAGGGAGAGAGGAAGAATGTTGGATTCAGGGGGGACAGCTTCAGCCTCACTGCGGATAGGAAAAGTGAGGAAGAACTGGGAGTCGCTGGGCATTGGAGGCTTTTGTCAGGAAGTTTGAAAGGCGTCAGCAGCTTGAAGCCCCCGGTGGAAACACTGATCAAAGTGAGTGCAGTAAATAATTCAAATTAATTCAGAAAGAAAATCTGGTAGGAGTTGAGAGCAGAAGATGAGGGAGAGACAGCACGAGAGCAGGGGCACGACAGGGAGAGAGTGGCAGCCAGCGTGGAAGCTGCAGTGGCAGGTAGGGGCCGAGGGGAAAGTGCAGTGCTGTTGGGGGTGGGGGAAGGCGCTAACCTGGAGACCCTCCACTGAGGAGTCCAGGCCTGAAACCTAAATGAGCAGTGAAGACACAACTCTAAACATTAATGAGTCAAATGCACAGCGATAGCTCTCCAAGACTCCGGATAATTTAGTTAAATTGTATTTGATTTAAAATAATTGAGCTGGCTTCACATGAGCTCAGTGGACAGTGGTGACTAACGGTTGACTAACTGTTCATTGGGCTTGGCAGATCTATGAATCGCTATGGATTGACGTGCAGGTTGTGGAGTGGGCAGAGAGGAGCCACGGCTGGTACCGTCTCACACACAGGCCTGAGAGCACAGCACACATATGCCCGGTAGTCTCAGTGTTGCACATGTGTGTCATGCTCTGTGAGCTGTCCTAGTTACAGTGTGAAATCACTGCGTGTAATCCACTGCCTTACAAATCAGCTCACCTAGTTACAGTGTACCAACTAGTGACAATGCTTCCGAGGAGAGGGAGGTAAGCAGGGGCTCGTCAGGGCTGAGCTGGCTCCAACGTGACGTTCTTGGTAACGGAGTGTCGAAATCTAGTCAATTGTGACAGCCTTTAGTCCGGTTCCTGAGCCAGACGGGTCCGCAGTATTCCAGGGCACTGCTGGTGACAGCACAGACCAGTCACTGGGGGCAGGGAATCTTCCCATTCTTAGACAGAAGCAGCGAGAAGTTTGTCAGAGTTCTCTCAGAGTTCTTTGCTGGTTGAACTCCAGCAGTTACTCTCCCCCTCTTGCCCTTCTCCTCAATGTACATTCTTGGGTCTCCAAGCTTTGGCACTCACCAACCTGCGCCTAATACACCATGGAATTAGGTAAGCAGGGGTCGTGCCTCCAGGGAGAGAGTGTATGTTGCATTCCGGATACAGAGAAATTTACATGTGTAGGTGACACATACATGTGAACTCTGTCTGGCTTGTGTGGAGTTTAAACACTGACACAGAATTTGTTGGGTGGAATGACCTGTTTCTACACTGTACATTCTATCTAAATCTATGGTTAGGAAACTCTTAACGACAGTGATGAGTTTTCATGTGTGTCAGACACCCGGCTGAGCAACAAAAGTTAGTTATAAAATGTCATCCTATACCTCACTGTTAGCTGCCTGCTCTCCTAGTTATCCCACACGGAATCTGTAGGATACAGACCCTACCGGGGTAATCCAGGTACAGATGGCAGCTTGGCTCAGTTGATAGCAATCTCTCTGAGTCAGTTAGAAGATTGTGCATTCAATCCCACAAAAATCCAGTAGGGCAATGGAAAAGAGAAGGAAGTTTTTCAGTTCGTCAGTGTTTGGCCAAACAGCTGCTGTGTGTGTGTGTGGGGGGGGGGGCACCATCTCATTCCCGAGATTCCCAGAGCTGCTGCGTTGTGTAGGACACATCGTCTCTCAGCCTCCCGAGAGCCTTCCCTTCCCTTTGTACAATATTTCTCTGCCACTTACCTTCTGTCCCAGATTCTTCTGTCGGAGTCTCTGAGTGAGATAGCTAGGGCCACATGTGCTGCGGGTCTATGTGGTAATGGCAGCCCTGAAGTGCTGGGGGATGCCGGTATCCAGGAACATCAAGGCACATTAATAATACTAACATTGGATACAGTGTCTTCTCAACTCATCAGGATGTCTCAAAGTGCTTCACTGAATTTTACTGTGAAATGTAGTGACTACGAATTTGTAGGCAAACGTGACAGCCAATTTGTGCAGTTAGAGACAGTAATGCTTCCTCTACACTGTCCATCCACACTCCCAGGTCAGTGACAACACGGGTGTGAGCTGTGCGATTCTCAATGTTCCTAATTCCCTCCAGGCTCCAGTCACCAGAACCCAGAGCAGCTGCTCGCTAATTACTGTTTACCTAATGTTTCTGTTGGTTTCTTGCATGAATGGTCCTCAGTTTTGGATTGAGCTGTGTATTTTGGAGCTTTTTGTCATGTTTGCCAACAGTTGTATGTTGCTCATTCAGTTTACCCCCGTCCCTCTCCATTGCCTCTTCCAGTCCAGATCCTGAGACTGTCCCAGTCACAGAGTGTGTGTGCATACTGCACCTGAGCCCTGCAATCCTACATGATTATAGTCTACAAGACTGCTTTTGACTTAAAACTTAAGGTGGCGCTGTGAAGCACTTTGTGACATTCTGCCAATGTGAAAGGCACTGTGTAAATGTACAGTGTAACAGGTACTGTGCAAACGTACAGTGTAACAGGTACTGTGTAAATGTACAGTGTAAATGTACAGTGTAACAGACACTGTGTAAATATACAGTGTAAATGTACAGTGTAACAGACACTGTGTAAATATACAGTGTAAATGTACAGTGTAACAGGCACTGTGTAAATGTACAGTGTAAATGTACAGTGTAAATGTACAGTGTAACAGGCACTGTGTAAATCTGAATTCTTCAATCCATTTAAGTCTTTTTCAGAATTGCAGACACAGGTTTCAAGTTAAGGCTGAATTTAAGAATTTTCCACAATTCTGCAACAAATATTAAGACAAAATAGATTTACAAGCTGACACTGGGGAGGATTCGGGATTTGACAGGCTGAGACGAGGAGGGTAGCTGGCTGCCTCAGGTACCTGGCACAGAGAGGGATTCAACCTTTCCTTCACTCATCCATTCCTCCTACACTTTGCAGGACTCCTCACCTCCCTCACTCTTCCCTTCCTCCTACACTCTACAGGACTCCTCACCTCCCTCACTCTTCCCTTCCTCCTACACTCTACAGGACTCCTCACCTCCGTCACTGTTCCCTTCCTCCTACTTCTCTACACTCGTTTTTCTCAGGGCTGCTACTCTGGTGGTGTATGTGGGACACGGAGTGTGGGCGTAGGCCAGGTTGGGCTCCGAGGTTGAAGCAAGTGAGAGGATCTTGTATGAAGGGAGGAAGAGGGAGAAAGAGTTGAGCTCAGCTCCAGCAGCTGACTGGAGTACTTCTGCATCCTAATGAGCCAGTTCCATGCTCCAATCGCAGTGAATAACTTGCGCCTCCTCCTGGGACTCGGTAATGAGCCGGTGGGCGGACGGGACGTTAATTGGTTGATAATTTGTATTGTTTGTGATGGGCTTTGATTAGAGTGTGAACTGACAGCATGTCTTTAGCAGAACAACCCAGCGCCCTGTTTATGGATCACTGCCGGCCTCTCTCACTGAACATCGTTCTCTCCTGCACCTCAGCTCATGCTTCACACTGTGATTTGTGATCTCTTGTGCGTAGGCATGTGTTTGTGTGATCAACTCTCAGCCTCACGCAGCCGTTCGCACCCTCCGCTCCGTGTCGGAAGGTTGTGGGTTCAAGGTCCACTTTCCTCCAACTCTGCCATATTGCATACCTCACACCCAACCCAGCGAAACCCCTATTCACACTTTCACGTGTAAATATTCACGTGTGTGTGTGTGTGTGTGAGAGAGAGAGAGACTTTGCTGTGTGCTTAAGTGATTTCTTGTGTTTACCAACAAATATTCAATCACAACACTTGTGTTTGGTGTTATAGTATATCATTCCTTTCTTCAGTTTGTGTTTGAGATTCCTCTCTCCGCCCACCCTGTCCTTCTTCCCATATTTCTCTCCAGAATCTGCTTCATCCTGCCTCTCACATTTGTTTTTTGGTTTAGCCCCAAACAGTGATATCAATGGCAAACTATGTGGGTTTATCTGGTTAGACTCCAGCAGTTACCCCAACGCACACTCTGGGGTCCCCAAGTCTTAGCTCTGGCCAACCTGCAGAATTAAGAAGAGTCCCTCCAGAAAGGGAGTGCACATTCCATTCCAACAATTTACTTCTGATATTTCCACGTGTAGGTGGGATGCGTGGAATCCTCGGTTGGTTCCTCGTAAGCACGTGATTGTTTTCTGTCAAAAAGAACGCACAACCTTCTACTCAGAGGCCAGAGTGCAGCCACTGAGCCCAAACTGACACCACACGCTCCCCTTTCCATGTCTATTTTCCAGTGATCAGCAGTGACATTGGTCTGAGCTGCTGCAGTTGTGATTTCTACCATTAGAGGGCGCCAACAGCCTGCCTCGGCACTGCACCGCCCCCTAGTGGCCAGAAGCAACAGTTGCAGCCTCCCTGCTTGGTCTCCCAATCTGTGTGAGCGCTGTCCCTTTAAACCTCACCTATTGCTAACTCAGTGGGTGAATTACACTGTTAACACATCACAAACATAAATAGACACACACAGGCAGCGAGAAAGGGCCTCACAGAGAGAAGGGTCCAGAAACAGAGGAAGATACCACACATCACTAATGTACCACATCTGAATATAGCATTATTTAGGTCAATGGGACTGAAAGTACAGTATTGCTCTTTAAAAGAATAGCATAGACACGGTGGCCAAATTACTTTCCTCTGTGCTGTGCATTTCTAAGGTTCTACTGTCTAACCCCACTCTTTCCCCCCCTGTCCCACCCCACTCCCCTCACTCCCACCCCACTCTCCCCTCACTCCCACCCCCGTCTAAACCCACTTTCTCCCCTCGCTCGCTCCAGTCCAACCCTACTCTCTGTTCACTCCCCCCAGTAAACCTCGAGATGTCCTCACCCCTCTATTCCTTATGAATTCAGGAGAGAATTGGGTAATTATCTGGGGAGGAAATGGGTCAATGGCTGAGAGAGTGTGGGTGAGACAATGCACTGCCTCTCCTGACTCACTGCGATACCAAAGTTAAATAGTTTCAAATAAATGTAAATTGAAATGTTGCTATGTGCTTTACTGTAATTGCTGTCCAGTTTAGTGACTGTGTATTGGTAGACAATCATGGCAGACATTTTTCACACAGCAATTTACTACAAACATTGTATCTGGGGGATTGGCAACCAGGACAAAAGTAAAGAGAAACTCCCTTCTCTTTTCCAATAGCACCATGGGATCTTTAATAGTGACCAAACGGGCACAAATGGGCCCTTAGTTTAATGTGTTATCTGAAGCACACATCTCCAACAATGCAGCACTCCCCCAGCATTGTGCTGGAGCATCAGACTGGACTTCAGGTCCCTGACGTAGAGTTTGGCCCCATAAGCTGGTGACCAGGAGGCGAGAGTGTGGTTGGCTGAGCCAGGATGGTATAATGATAATATATAAATAATAATAATTCTTGTATTTGATATTAAGCCTTATCACGTCATTGAAATGTCTCAAAGCGCTTCACACGATATACTGTAAAGTATATTGTGAGTGAAATGCGGTAGCCAATTGTGCACAACAGTGTCCCACAAACAGTCGTGGATTGAGTGACCAAATTATTATTATTTTGTTCATGGGATTATTACCCCCAGAAAGTGATCCACCAATCGACTAACAACCGAGTTCCTACTTACTGCTGGTAAACAACGGCGTATAGATTAAGGAATCTTGCCCATTGGTTCGCTCTGCCCGGGAATTGAACTCGGGTCTCTCGCTTGTGAAGCGAATGCTCTAACCACTACACTACAGGACTCCACATAAGCTGTGGGCAGAGACTAACGCGTTGGTGACTTTCAGTGCCTTTCAGGGAGACCCCGACATACACCAACAGGAGACGGAGCGCAGGAAGCACCCTGTCATCGCCCCGCACCTTGCTACGATCCACCAGTGACAACAACATCAACGAGCTGCAGGAGCGATCAGCGCATTCGCCAGTTCTGTCGCTCCGCAGCCTGCCGCCACAGCTACTGGTGCATATGCAGGAGAGCGTGGAAGGGGGGCCACAGAGTGCAGGCAGCTCCCACAGCTCCCACAGCCGCTCGCCCTCCCTCCAGTGTGTCCAGGAGGAGATTGAGGCCGACAGCTCCACTCTGCGCAGGCAGACCAAGGCCAGGTTCAGGTAAGGACCGCCAGCCCCAGAGCCCAGGCTCGACCGTGGGAGGGGAGGGTGGACAGAGGGAGGCTGGCACTCTCACATTCACTGAGGCAATCAGAAGGATTTGGAGTGATAGCAAAGTGTACAGTAAAAGTGGCGACATGTGTTTGTGTAATTCCTTGTGTGTGTGTGTGTGTTCTATGCATCAATGTGGAATGAGAATCTTGCTGTAAATCGGGACTGGTGTAGCTGGGTGTCTGGCACATGCAGAAACCCTTCCCCACGCTTAAGAGTCTCCAAAACAAGCTGAGATTTCCATGCATCCCACCTACTCACAGACATCATAAACCTCTTCCTGTCCACTAGTACTGTTCCCACCCCATTAAAAACCTCATATCCTTAAAAAACTCTCCCTGGACCCATCTCTACTCTCAAACTACCATCTCCAACCTCCCTTTCCTCTCCAAGATCCTGGAAGGAGTTGTTGTTTCCCAGCTTCGCTCCTTCCTCTCCCGCCATTCCCTTCTCAAACCCCTCCAATCGGGTTTCCGTGCCACCCACAGCACAGAAACAGCCCTGGTCACAGTGACAAATGGCATTCTGTCCATCTGGGCCCAGGGCTCCCTCTGCCTCCTCGTCCTCCTTCACCTTTCTGCTGCCTTTGACACCATCGACCACTCTATTCTCCACCGCCTCTCCTCTCACCTCAACCTCGTGGAGTCCTGTAGCTCAGTGGTTAGAGCACTCGCTTTGCAAGCGAGAGACCTGAGTTCAATTCCAGTCAGAGGGTGAAACCTTGGGCAAGTTTCCTTACTCCACACAGAGCCTAATAATAATCCTCCAAAAAACAAAAACAATAATAAAATTGGTCATTTTCAATCTATGACTGTTTGTGGGACATTGCTGTGCGCAATTGGCTGCCGCGTTCGCCCACAAATATACAGTCAACTCACTTTACAGTATTTTCTGTGAAGCGCTTTGGGACGTCCTCCCGACGTGAAAAGCGCTATATCAAATGCGAGGATTATTATTATTATTATTATAACCTTCATGGCGCTGTCCTTGACTGGTTCAGATCGTACCTCTCACACCACCTGCACTTCACCAAACGGCTTCTCCTCCAGACCCTGCACCGTCTCGTGCGGCATTCCTCAGGGCTCTGGTTCCCTCTTGGTCCCCTCTTCTTCAATATATGCTCCCTCTTGGTGACATCACCCACAGATATGGGGTCAACTCCCACATGTATGCAGATGACACCCAACTGTACCTCTCTGCCTCCACCCTTGACTCCAGGACCCACTGCTGTCCTGACAGAATGTCTGTCAGACGTCAAGGCCTGGATGAGAGTAACTTTCTTCAGTTGAACGTCACCAAGACTGAGGCTCCTAATTGGCTCCCGTCAGCGCGTCCTCACCTCAGGCTGACAGATCACCATCCATGGGGCTCACTCCCCCTCACTGAGCCAGTCCCGAACCTTGGGGTCTTGTTTGACCCTCAACTATCCTTTCTACCCCACATCTGCGCCATGACCCGCTCTGCCTTCCCCCACCTCCGCAACATCGCCCGGCTCCCCCACTGTCTCACTCCGCAGGCCACCGAGACCCTCGTACACTCCTTCATTACATCGACTTGACTATGCAAACTCCCTGCTTGTCGGCCCCCAACTCCTCCCTCCACAGGCTGCAAATCATCCAGAACTCTGCAGCCCGTGACCTCTCCCACACCAGGCTCCGCGACCCTATCACCCCATCCTCGCCCGACCCCACTGTCTCCCCATCACACAGAGGATACAGGTCAAGATCCTGGTCCTTAGCTTCAAAGCCCTCCATGGTCTTGCTCCCCCCAACCTCTTCGACCTCCTAACCCCCTACCATCCTGTTCGCTCCCTCCGTACAGTGGGCTCCGGGCTGCTTCACGTCCCCCGCCTTGCTCGCCCCACTATTGGTGGGTGGGCCTTCTGCCACTCTGCCCCCACCCTCTGGAATTCCATCCTGTAGTCTCTCCACCTCGCCCCCTCCCTTGCCTACTTTAAGACCCATCTCAAGACCCTCCTCTTCAACCGTGCTTTTGATTACTCTGCTTCCTCCCCTGCCCTCCACCTTACCTGATCCCGACCCCCATCTCGGGTCCGAAACTCTGACTGTCCAGCACCTTGGGATGTCCTCCCAACATGAAAGGCACTATACAAATATAATTTTGTTGTTGTACACATGGAAATCCCAAAGATAGAATGTTGGAATTGAATGCGCGCTCTCCCTGGAGGGACACATCCTGCTTAACTAATTTCGGAGTATTAGGCGCACGTTGGCAAGTCTCAAGGCTTGAGGAGCCCAGAGTGTGCATTGGGGTAAATGCTGGAGTCTAACCAGATAAAACCGCATAGCTTGCCATTGATATTGCTTCTGGCAAGCTTTCCGCTGCTTGTCCAGCTAGGACCACCTTATCTTTGGCTGCAGGGTTAACAGGAGCTGAGGGGGAGGATTTCCTGCCCCCAGTGACTGGTCAGCCCTTCCAGGTCCTGCTGTTGAGCCAGGCCGGGCTGTGCTGTCATTGGCAGTGAGTGGCCTGGGATACTGTGGCCCCTCCTGGCTCAGGAACCGGACTAGAGACCGTCACAGAGGGGGTGCGGATTTGGACATTCCGTTGCCAGACATGTCAGCTTTGAGCCAGTTCAGCTTCACAGAGACCCCACTTAGTATAGAGTAACCCAAATGATGAAGAGCTGATGTAGAGTAGTTACTGATGGTGTTAGCGAGCTCTTCACTCTGTGTTAGTTATCACAGAGTTATTGACTGGAGCAGAGCATGTGTTGGTTCAAGGTGTGATCAGCCAAGTGTGTCACAGCATCCCCCCCCCCATCATCAGGCCTCCGCTGTGGGCTCACAGGTCAGCTGCCTACCCTGGGGGTGACCAGCTGGTCAACTCATTTTCTGAGCGGGCCGGGGGAAGGTGTGTGGCTGACGTGGTGAGGGGAAAGCTGGCACGGAGACCAGAGCAGCTTGTACCCTATAGGGTAGCCTCGGAGTTAGAGGAAGGGGTGGGACTCATTATGTCTGGAGATTAGTTCCTTGCTGCTCTGAGTGTTTGTCCTTCGTACCAGGGCTGAGAAGAGATTTCTACCTAATCAATGGCTCTGACTCGTCACAACCTAAATAAAAGCTTTCAACAACAACTATCCTGCTATAATAATAATGGTGTATTTGATCCATCACCTATACCATCATGTAGAGTCATGTAGCTCAGTGGTTAGAGCCCTCACCTCGCGAGTGAGAGGACCTGGGTTTGATCCCCAGCTAGGGAGAAACGTTGAGCAAGTTTGCTTACTCCACACGCCTCTGTTTACCAGCAGTAAGTAGGAACCTGGTTATTAGTCGATTGGCGGATCGCTTTTCTGGGCGTAATAATCCCAATGCACTTTACCCTCGGAATATGCTACAGGACTCCAAATGTCTACTGTGTTTGCCTTAACACACTACATGAGACTGTAATTACAGGAAAGGTCTTTGAAACGGTGGATGGTACAGGCACTCTTAAAAAAGTCTTTCTTGTAACGGTGTCAGACTACAGCTTAGCAGAGAACCATGAATGTGGGTAGAATACAGTACACCGGCCTCTGGAGTGTGATGTAGCCTGTCATGGCTTTCCCCGTCACTGTACATCTTCTGCCCCGGACCTCCAGCAACACTGTGCCAGGGTAGAGCACAGCTTTGTTCCCGTAAGGTCAGGAAGGCTGTATCTGGGGCCGGCCAGGCTCTGGTTAGCTCCCATTTGTGTTCGCCCATAAAAATACAGTCACTACACTTTACACTATATTCTGTGAAGAGCTTTGAAATGTCTCAACCACGTGATAAGGAACTATACCAAATGCAAGGATTATTATTATTTGGTTTGTGGGATTGAGTAAATCGCTTCAAGATGTCACCCTGTGTGAAGGGCGCTGTATAAATGCAAGTTGTTGTCAATAGGATGGAGTGTTTTGCTGTGATGGCAGCCTGTAGCTTTGCTTCTGACTTCAGCCCAGACTCCAGCAAAGCCAAGACTCCATCCAAAGCTCAAAATTCCTGTCTGCTGTTATCTGGAGATGAGCAAAAGCATGTTCAGTTGCTCTGTGTAGGTATATATGGCGAGAAATGTGATGCAGTGGAAACACACTGGACAACCAGTACATCAACAGAGTGAGGCTTTGGGGGGGGGGAAAGCGGGCTGAAAGTATTGTGGAGTCCTATAGCTCAGTGGTTAGACCACTCGCCTCGTAAGCGAAAGGACCTGGGTTTGATTCCCAGGCAGGGAGAAACGTTGGGCAAATGTTTCCTTACTCCACACATCTCTGTTTACCTAGCAGTAGGTAGGAACTCGGTTGGCGGATCGCTTTTCCGGGGGAAATAATCCCTTCAAAAAAAATAATAATTTGGTCACTTAAATACACAACTGTCTGTGGGACACTCTGTGCGCATTTAGCTGCCGCACTTTGCTCAACAAATACACAGTCACTACGCTTTACAATGTATACAGTGAAACGCTTTGAGATGTCTCATTATCAAATGCAAGGATTATTATTTATATAGAATAGCTGATGCGTGCTGATGGTGGGGCGGGTCAAGCGGGGTCTGGATGGCAGAGGTGTGTTGCGGAGGTGACAGAAAGCCAAGCGAGTGAGTGAATGCCTGGTTGTGGGGTTTGAAGGACAATCAAGGGTCAATCAAGACACCATGATGGAGTCAGCATCTCTGCAGGTCGATGCGATCAGCGCCTGAGGTGAGAAGACACTGATGGGAGACGAGCAGGAGAGCTTCTGTCTTGTTGATATTTACCTGTAGAAAGTTACCTATCATCCAGGTGTCTGGCATGTCTGAGAGGCAATCGGTCAGGTCAGCAATGATCCTGGAGCAGAGCGGAGAGGAGCAGGTTGAGATCAGGCACTCTGGGCTTCAGTGTGAGAGCAGTCTGTTGCCAATGAAACTCTCCACTTTATAAAGTGGGACAGTGTATAACAGAGGCATCACACTGAATAACAAGTTATGTAA